AATGCCAAGTAACTTATTAAAACGGGAAAAAGGCAAAGGGGCGGGTTTTCTTCTAGAGCTTCCAAAAGGAACACAGCCCTGCTGACCCCTTTTAGACTCACTTCTGACCTCCAGAACGATGAGAGGGCCGATTTGTGTTGTGTAAAGTTCGTGGCACTTTGTTATGGCCACGGTAGGAAGCTAATACAGGACTGCTATGCCTCATGCTTCTGAGAACATTCTAGAATGTACCTGACCATTTAGGAACAAGTGCAGGTTGACTAGACGTTGCCATAGTCTTCCCAGGTGACTGGATCAGTTTACGCTCCCAGCAGCAGCCATGTATGAGTCCTGGTTGCTTCACACCCTTGGAAGAGATATATTTAATTAAAAGAAATGACAGGACTTGGTGCTGATGGGCCAGTTGTGCAGTGGGTGGATGTTCAGCAAGCGCTGGTCAGTGCGGATCCAGCCGGCCCCGGGGAGGGGTGAGGGAGTGGCCGCCCCAGGGCGTCTAGCTGGGAAAACTAGAATTCCTTCAGTGGGAAATACTGATGAATTTAAGATTAAACAGAACTTTCCACCTGAAGAGTTTGAACAATGCTTATCTCATCTGGGTAACTTACTGACCAACTGAGGCAGTGGTGGGTATCAGGTGGAGTCAGGCCTGTATGGCTCAGAGTCTGGAAAGTACCCTCATTTAAGGGCTATGACTGTAAGCAAGTCACTATCGCCTGGTGCTCTGGTCGGGCCGTCTGGAACATGGGTTTGATCCTGGGCTTCCTGAGGCGCTGTGGGTGGTTGAGAGGAGCCTCCATATTTACTGCTCTTGTTAAGCACATAAATTCCTTTACAAGAAGTTGACAACTCAGGGTTCAGCGTTCAGGATGCTGTGCTGAGCGGCTCCCTTGAGAGGGGCTGAGAATGTCAGCTGCTTAGTCGGCCTTGAGGGCAGGTGAGGTCATTATCAGCCCCCTAGGGGCTGAGCCACTGTCCCCCACCCCCATTCCTGAAATTCCTTTTGAAATTGCTTGTTTGTTCATACATTCATTAAACCATTGCCGAACTTGACTGTGCTCATTATAATGCAGTCATTAGAACACAGACTCCCAGGTCAAATGCCTGATTTATTTAAAAACACTTACTTAATTAATTTTATTTATCATCTTTTTTTTTAAAAAAAAAAAAAAACCAGTGAGTGACAGAGAGAGAGAGGAAAAACAAGAAAGCAAGCTGCCAGGTCGAGGACTCGAACCTCAGTCAGCCATGTGGGAGCCTTAGCCACCATGCCACCTGCTAGCCTCAACCATTATTATTATTTAACTTGACCAGAAAGAGAGAGAGAGAGAGAGAGAGAGAGAGAGAGAAAGCTAGTAGGTCTGGGACTGAAACCATGTTCCACCATGCAGGGAATCCAGCACCTTAAACACCGTACCACCTGCTTGCCCCAAATGCCTGACCTAACTCTTACCTTTCTCATTTGCTGTCTGCCTTTGTCAACTCTTTTCTTTTTGAAATTTTCTTTCCTTGTTTGTGATGGAATTGGATGTGTGTGCATAAGAGAGAGAAACGAGAGCCCTCTACAGGGCTGGGCACACGGTGATGCCCTTTCTCTTGTTGGATCTTGAGGACTTTGCAAGTGCCCAGCATGTTTCATGCTGACTAGGCTAGGGATTCGAACCTCTGACCACGGGGGTCTGGCTACTCTTGAGTAGCATATTACTGTTGCTCCATGTAGCTGACCCACCTTTGCTAAGTCTTAACCTCTGTGCCTAGTTTCCTGATTTTTTAAAAAGAATTATTTTATTTTAACTTTTATGTATTTACTTATTTTAATTTGACCAGAGAGGGATAGAGTGAGTGAGAGAGAGGGAATGTGAGAAAGCAAACCACCAGGTCCAGGACTTGAACTATGGTTGGCCATGTGGGAATCCAGTGCCCTTAACCACCATGCCATCTGATCGCCCCCGGTTTCCTCATTTTTAAAATGAGAAGGCAACAGCACTTACCTCCTGGGGCTGGTGTGAATTGCATGAGATTGCCCATGGCATGCCTGGCGGGCATCCCTCATGCTGGGGCGCAGAAACGGTGCCCTCAGTCCTTCCTCCTCACCGGAGGCTGACAGGTGATGGCTCATCAGTGGCTATTGTTTTGATCTGTCATGTTGCTAATGGCAGAAATACCTGAGTCTGGGTAATTTATAAGGAATGGCCGATTTATTTAGCTCATGGTTTAAGAGGTCCAAAGTCAAGAGGCTTCATCTGGTGAAGGTCCATCAGTGGGGTCCTGAGGAGGCTCAGGGCATCACGTGGCAGGAGCTTCTGTGTCTGTGTCCCGTTACTAATCCGTGGTTAGCCAGTCTTGGGGCCTCTTTCTGACACCACAGTCATGATGGCAGTCAATCCCGTTACAAGGACAGTTAAGTTTCCAACATTGAACATTGAGGGGGCACATCCAGTCATAGCAATGTCTACAGAATAGCCCGGACCTAAAACTGGCCAGCTCAGTCCCTTGAGGGCAGGCTCAGACCTGTCACAGCTCCTCAAGAGATGCGGCTTTGAGGGGTGCCCCATTGATGGCAGCGTGTGGTTGGGAGGAGTCAAGCACCTGCCTTCCTCAGCAGCGACTGTGCTGCAGGGGAGCTTGGGACACTGAGCAGACTCAGCTTCCAGGCCGGAACGAGATGGGTCGGGGTGTCCAGAACCGCAGAAGTGACCCAGGAAGGGTCTGCCCGATCTCTCCCCTCCTCCTTGGTGGTGGTGGTGCCATGGCTCAGGGACTCTGTTACCCTTCCATGCTTCCTTCTTCCCAGATCCATATCTTCACTTTTGCCTTCGTCCAGGCCCCTCCGTGGACCTGCCTCAGCTGATGAAGTTAGTGTGATGGAAGCCAGAACAGTGGCCCCAAACAGGGATCCAGATACTAAAAATATCCCGTGCTGTGCTCTCTGCAGGTTAAATAAAAGCACGCCGTGGTGAGCAGTGTGGGGAGAGGAGAATCCTCCCTCCCCCAGGCTCTTGGGGCCCAGGGGTTCCAGGTTTCTGGTCCTGCTCACCGGATCTGAGAGTTTGTGTAGATGGTGCTTACTCTCTGAGTGGGCCAGACCCATGGTGGGGAAGATGAGGAGGACAAGCTGGAGGTGTGGCCACACAGGGCCATGGTGCTCCTCTGTCCGAACAGCTGGCACTGTGGTGCGGGCCCTGAAGGCAGCACCAGCGTGGGAGATCTTGGGCGGTCAGAGTCGCCCTGGACTCCCTGCCTCAGAGGCGCCAGCTTGGAGACCATCCTCAGCATGATCAGTCAGGCGGTTCCTCTAGAGCTGTTTCTTTGCTTGACACTAAACGCAGTAGCCCATTGGTGTTTGAGGTTGTGTGGTACAAAGAGGGTCTATTTTATTTTTTCACATTGATTAATTATTTCTTCTACAAGAGAGATAAAGGCACACCCATCAGGGCCTTGACACCACCATCCATCCCTGCATCCAAGCTAGCCCAGATCACGGGTACACGTGAGCCTGTTGTACTTGGACACGTCCCAGGACGTGAACCCAGGGCCTTCCCTACGAGGATCCAGTTGCATTACCGCTGCACCACTGCCTGGTGAGATTGTGTCTTTTGATGCTAACAAGTGGTGAGGGGTGCAGTACTTCAGAATCATGGCTCAGACTTACCCCGGAGGGGATTGGCCACTCCCCCACCCCCTCTCCTTCATCCTCAGGGAGTGGAGTATTTTCCCTCTAGTTCTGTCTCTCTGACGGTCCCTCTGGTTCCCTCTGTACCTCTTATCCTGACATACCAGCTTGAATCCTCAAATGTGGGTATCTGGTGCCTTTGGACAGTGTTTTACCATTCCAGGGAGCCATTTCGTGATGTAAAACCTTAAACTCATACTTGTATTTTTTTTTTTTTTTTTATTGCCAGAGGGAGGTAGAGACAGAGATAGAGAGGGGGACAAATCAGCTCCCAAGGAAACATGTTCACACCACAGTCCCATCTCCATTTCTCCATCCTTTTGGGGTTTGGGGCATGCGCGTACACACACCTGGCATGTCTTGAACTCAGCTGGGACCAGAACTTGAACTGTTTGGCCGTGTGGAACTCAGCTCCTTTAACCGCCAGGCTGTGGGGCCTGCCCTCAACCCTTGTAGATGCCTGCTCCGTTGTTCCTCCTGTGTCAAGTGCCCTGCCCCTGTGAGTCCTCACTCTAGAAATGTTATATGCTTATAACATCTTCTCACTTTTTAAAAAAATTATTTATTTTAGTTTTGTTTACTCATTCATTTATTTTCATTTGGCCAGAGAGAGACACAGAGAAAGTTAGAGAGAAAGTGAGAAAGCAAGCCACCAGGTCTGGGACTCAAACTGCCGTCCGCTATGAGAGAGTGTCCAACTCCTTAACCACCATGTCACCTGCTGTTCCCCCACATCTCCTCACTTATTAAATACAGATTGAATACTTAACCTGTGCTAGGCCCTTCGTGAAATTGAATGTTGTTTTACTGAACTCATGACCAAAAATCGCTTGGCCTCACCTCTTATGTCCCAAGCTCAAAATAACTGAAATCCACCCTCACATAGGCCCCAGTGAGAATATTTAATCTTATTTCCAACTGGGACAGCAGTTAGTAAGCCCTAAAATCATGACCCAGGGAAACAGTGACTTAAAGAACAAAGAGCGGCCAGCAGATGGCATGATGGTTAAGGTGCTGGATTCCCACATGCTTGACTGCAGTTCGAGTCCCAGACCTGGCGACTTGCTTTCTCACTTTTTCTTCTCTGGTCAAATTACAAAGTAATAACAATAAATAAAGTTAAATAAAATAATTATTTCTAAAATTTAGCTTATTATTTTTTTAGAGAGATTTTTGCTATAGAGTATGTGTGTTTGCCGGAGAGACAAAGACAGAGAAACAAAAAGAGAGAAATCACCACTCCAGGGGGGTGGCCATTCCCCGGTCCCCTCTCCTCCATTCTCCTCTTGGGATTTTGGGCATGCACACACATACAACCAGCATGAGTTTTAAGCTGCCAGGCCCAGGACTCAAACTGCAGTTGACTGTGTGGTCCAGCAATGTAACTGTTATGCCATTTGCTGGTTCCTAAAACTTCTTAAAATAAATAAATAAATAAATAGATAGATAAATAAATAAATAAAATAATAAAAATAAACAAAAACAAGGGAATCTCTCTCTAGCTTAGTAGTTCCAGGTGGGGAGGTACCTGTGCTCCAGGCTGTCAGTCACAGGCCCAAATGCCACCTTTCTTGTTGCCCTGTCGTTTCCAAGTTCATTGCCGTCACTGAATGCTCAGAGCTCAGTCTGGCTAGTAGGAAGTGTGATCATGACATACCCATGTCTTAAGGCCTAGGTTGAGAAACGGCCTTTCACATTCCAATGGAAACTCAGACACTAGCCCTGGGAAAGGTAGTCTCTGATAAAACGCAAATAATTACTGAAGAAGGGGAGAATGGACATAATGGATACTGAGAAGCCTTTGGAGTATTCACCTTGTATTTATTTGATGTGGACCTTTGTGTGTTTATGACATAAATGCACCCAGATTATAAAAGCTGGTCATTTTGCTTTTTAAGAAAGAAGACCTGGGCTCACCACGGCAAGTCTATGGACAGTTCCACCGTGATGAATCAGCGTATCTGTAGAGGAATGGAAGAACACAAAGAAAGGTAAAAAAAAAGGTCTCTAAAAATTAAACTTAAGAAAGTCGTCTTTTTTTTGAGAGAGAGGTTTTTGCCACAGGGCGTGTGCACTCGCCAGACAGACAGAGAGAGACAGAGAGACAGAAAGCGAGAAATCACCCCCCCAGGGGGGATGGCCACACCTCAGTTCCCTCTCCTCCATTCTCCTCTCAGGATCTTGGGCACGCACGCACACACGCCCGGCGTGAGTTCAAGCCACTGGGTCCGGGATGTGAACCACGGCTGACTATATGGGAGTCCAGCGACACAGCCATTATGCCAACTGCTGGTCCCAGTCTTCTTTTTTTAAAAAATAATTATTTATTTAATTTTATGTCTTAATTACCTTTTTAAAATTTGCTACAAGACATGTGTACTTACCGGAGAGAGAGAAAGTGAGGAAGCAAGCCGCGAGGTTTGGGACTTGAACCACGGTTGGCTCTGTGGGAGTTCGCGTCTTAACCACCTGCTGGCTCCTGTATTTAAGATATTCTTCTGTGCAGTAATTAAATGAAGTACAGGCTTCCTTTAGGCCTCTGTGGGTCGGTAGAAGCCATCGAGAACTTGGAGACGGTAAAATTTCATGTGTCTCCAGTCACATCTCTGATTTCCGACACTAGAGGAGGATGCCTTTGTTAAGTATGGAGGGATCTTTCTGAGACTTAGAAGGAAACATAGGTATACACAGAACTTCCATGGTTTCAAATTAAATATTTGACTTCAAAACAGTGGACATTCGTTCCCAAAGCTGTGACACCTGCTTGGATGAGTCGTCTACATTCGTGAGGGGCCAGTACCCACAGGGAGCAGAGGCAGGCCCTGAGCCCCTGGTGGCTGCATCTTCTCTTGGAGTCACCATCCCTTCTTCTTCCTCTGCCTCCTCTTTTTTTCCCCCTTAAAAATAAAAGTTAGGAGGCTAGATGGTGGCACAGCAGTCAAATACAACACTCTGTGAGGCTGACCTCATGGGAAGGTTCCCAGTTCAAGTCTGGAGACCTCTCTGAGTACACAGGTCACACACATGCCCCTCAGCTGGGGCTGGCTGAAGGCTGGGGAAGGATCGTAGCACCAGGACCCTGCTCAGGGTGCTGACTCTCTGTCTCTTTGTCTCTCTCACTCATGGAAGAAATCAGTAAATAAGCTTTAAAAATAAATGAAAAAAATTTAAATATCATTTAATTTTAATATCCCAGAAACACATAGATACATTCTCTTTGTGAAAAATAAAAGTGATGTCCATTCCTAGCACCTATCCTACTTCTGTGCTTTTTAGAAATAACCACTGTGGGGGCCAGCAGGTGGTGTGGTGGTTAAGGTGCTGAACTCCCACATTGCCAACCATGGTTTGAGTCCCAGACCTGGCAACCTGATAAGTACACCAGGCGGATGTACATGTGTGCTCAAAATCCCAAGAAGAGAATGGAGGGGAAGAGATTGCAGTGTGGCCATCGTGCTTAGGGGGTGATTTCTCACTGTCTTTCTCTGGCAAGAACATGCACCCTATGGCAAAAACCTTAAAAAAGAAAAGGTTAAAAAAAATAGAAATAACCACTGTGATTTACTTTGTGTGTTTTCTTCCAGAACTTTTTCTAGTTGCCTCAATTACATGTTGTAGTAAGAACATTCATTTTTTTCTTTCTTTTTTTACCTTGTGTTTTTAAAATACATGCTGTCATATTAATCTTATTGACCTATTTAGTAGCTTTTTAATAAATTCAATAATGTGTCTTAGAATGTTTTCCAGACGGTACATGTGAAATCTTCCTTCTTAAAAATAATTATTTAATTAAATTAATTATTTATTTCAATTTGACCAGAGAGGGATCGAGAGAGAGAAAATGAGAAAGTAATAAAGCAAGATGCCAGGCCCAGGACTCAAACCGCAGTCGGCCATGTGAGAGTGCAGCGCCCTTAACCACCCCTCCACCTGCCAGCCCCCCTACCGTGTTGTTTTACGGCAGAGAAGTGAATCGTGTATCTGTAGTTTGGGAACCCATGGTTTACGGAGCCCTTTTCCTGAGATGGTGGTGAGGCTGGTTCTGGTTTCTGTGCTCATATTGCTGTGATGTGCTTTCTGGCACGATCCCCCAGCGTGCACAGGGAAATGTTTCCTGCAGTGCTTGCCAGGCTGTAGAGACACTGGGCCATCCTGTGTCTGCAAGCCTGGGTCTTAACAAACGTGGCTGGGTGGCCTGTCAGCTGGATGCCGGGGCTTCTGCTTGCCCACCCTCTTGCGGCCTGCGGATCTGCTCTTCAGTTCTGCCAGTCCATTGGGTGAGCTGCGCTTTCTCTCCATGGCTGCAATCCACCCGCCCTTCATCTTAATTCCAGGGCATTCTCTGATGCCTGGATTCATCTCCCAGTGGTGCCCAAGCCTCTGTCCTCACAGGGCTCCAGGGCATCTGGGCAGCCCTGTCCTTCCCAGGAGAGGTCAGGCATCATTTTCTCTTCTGAAAAGGATCCAAGCATTCCCCCAGGGGAGTCCCCCAGGGCGATCTGCTCCTCTGTGACGCCCTGAGGGGATTGTGAAGAGCAGCGGGTTCAGGGTTACTGTTGGCAGGCAGCACAGCACAGTCTGAGTGTGTACCATGGGTCGGCCTCTGCGGGAGCGCCTCGCCCACTCACCTCACTTAATTCTCACTGTGGCCTGTCAGGAAACGCAGTGGCTCATGTCCCTGCAATCCATGTATTGAGATGTGGTTGTTAATACCTTGAAGGTACTAGATTTCATGGGAACGACTAAGTGATTGGGCTGGGCCCTGGTGATCAACCCCTGGTGTGTGTGTAAGGAGACTCCGAAGGATAGGACGCAGCTGCTCTGCTCAGCA